TTCCTGATGAAAATAGATGCAAAAATACTCAACAAAATATTAGCAAACCAAATTTAAAAATACAATAAAGAGATCATCCATCATGAACAAGTGGGATTTATTCCAGGGATGCAAGAATGGTACAATATTTGAAAATCCGTCAACACCACACACCTCATCAAAAAAAGAAGGATAAAAATCACATCATCTTAATAGATGCTGAAAAAGCATTTGACAAAATTCAACATCCATTCATGATAAAAACTCTGAACAAAATGGGTATAAAGGGCAAGTACCTCAACATAATAAAGGTTATATATGACAAACCCACAGCCAACATTATACTTAACAGCAAGAACCTGAAAGCTTTTCCTTGAAGATTGGCAACAAGACAAGGATGCCCACTCTCCCCACTTTTATTCAACATAGTTTTGGAGGTCCTAGCCATAGCAATCAGACAACATAAATAAATAAAATGCACCCATATTGGTAAGGAAGAAGTTAAACTGTCACTGTTTACAGGTGACATGATATTGTACATAATAATCCCTAAAGAATCCACCCCAAAACTACTAGAACTAATAACTGAATTCAGCAAATTTGCAGTATACAAAATTAATACAAGTAATCTTTTGCATTCCTATATACTAATGATGATCTAGCAGAAGGAGAAATCAGGAAAACAATTCCATTTACAATTGCATCAAAAAGTATAAAATTCCTAGGAATAAGCCTAACCAAGTAGGTGAAATACCTATATCCTGAAAACTACAAGACACTCATGAGAAAAATTAAAGAAGACACCAATAAATGGAAATACATCCCATCCTCATGGATAGGAAGAATTAATATTGTCAAAATGGCTATCTTGCCTAAAGCAATCTACATACTCAATGCATTTCTATCAAAATACCAACAGCATTCTTCAATGAACTAGAACAAATAGTTCTAAAATTTATATGGAATCACAAAAGACCAAGACTAGCCAAAGCAATCCTGAGAAGGAAGAATAAAGTGGGATAGATTACGCTCCCCAACTTCAAGCTCCCCAAAACAATTTGATACGCTCACAAGAACTGACCCATAGATGAATGGAACAGACTAGAGAGCCCAGATATAAACCCAAGCACATATGGTCAATTAATATACAATAAAGGAGCCATGGATATACAATGGGGAAATGACAGCCTCTTCAAAAGCCGGTGTTGGCAAAACTGGACAGCTATGTGTAAGAGAATGAAACTGGATAATTGTTTAAGTCTATACACAAAAGTAAACTTAAAATGGATTAAAGATCTGAATGTAATTCATGAAAGCATAAAACTCTTAGAAGAACACATAGGCAAAACTCTCTTGAATATAAACATGAGCAACTTTTTCCTGAACACTTCTCCCTGGGCAATAGAAACAAAAGCAGAAATGAACATATGGGACTATATCAAACTAAAAATCTTTACAGCACTGGACACCATCAGTAGAACAAAAGGGCATCCTACAGTATGGGAGAATACATTGGTAGATAACTTATTCGATGAGGGGTTAACATCCAAAATAAATAAAGGGCTCACAGGCCTCAACACACAAAAAGCAAATAACTTGATTAAAAATGGGCAGAGGATATGAACAGACACTTCTCCAAAGAAGAAATTCAGATGGCCAACAGGCACATGAAAAGATGTTCCACATCACTACCTATTAGGGAAATGCAAATTAAAACCACAATGACACCAGTTAGGATGGCCAACATCCAAAAGACAAGGCCCAACAAATGCTGGTGAGGTTGGAGAGAAAGGGAAACCCTGCTATACTTTTGGTGGGAATGCAAATTAGTTCAACCATTGTGGAAAGCAATATGGATGTTTCTCAAAAAACTAAAACCAGAAATATCATTTGACCCAGGAATTCCACTCCTTGGAATTTACCCAAAGAAAACAAGATCACTGATTCAAAAAGACATATACACCCCTATGTTTATTGCAGCACTGTTTACAATAGCCAAAATATGGAAGTAACCTAAGTGTTTGTCAGTAGATGAATGAATAAAGTAGATGTGGTACATATGCACAATGGAATGTTATTCAGCCATAAGAAGAAAACAAATCCTACTCTTTGCAGCAACATGGATGGAGCCAGAGGATATAATGCTCAGTGAAATAAGCCAGGCAGAGAAAGACAAGTACCAAATGATTTCACTCATTTGTGTAGTATAACAACAAAGCAAAACTGAAGGAACAAAACAGCAGCCGACTCACAGACTCAAAGAAGGGGCTAGTGGTTACCAAAGGGAAGGCATTGGGGAGAGTGGGTTGGGAAGGAGGGAGAAGGGGAATTAGCACACATAATATAGGTAGGTCACGGAGAAGGCAGTACAGCACAGAGAAGACAAGTAATGACTTTATAGCATCTTCATATGCTGATGGACAGTGACTGCAATTGGTGTGTGGGGGGGGACTTGATAATATGGTGAATGTTGTAACCAGTGTTGCTCATGTGAAACCTTCATAAGATTTTATAGCAATGATAACTTAAAAGAATACCAAAAAAAAATAGTCTATATGTTATTCAATTTCTATACTTTTATCGGTTGTTCCCATTTTGGGTTTTCCTGAATTATGTGTTTTTCAATAAAGTGAATGTGTATTGAGTGCCAGCTAAGTACAAGGCCTTGAAGTAACAGCATTATTCTGGGCAACTCTCAGGGTCCTAAAGATGGCTTGTTTAGCAAAAGACAGTAAGGTTGCCAAGGTGGTCTTCATTTTATATTTAGAATTTAGAGCTTCAGCTTTCTTACATTTCTGGGCTTAAAAATATAGAAAGTCCCTACATTTTTAACTAGATCCTTCCCTAACATATATTGCCAGACTTTGTGTTTATATCTACATCTGTATTCATAATCAACATTCTTATAGAAAGTGACATTGCGCTCAGTGTCTTCTTATGCTTTCTGTTGTAAGTCTATTTCTCAATGTTAAAGACAGCCCTGATAAAGAAATCATAGAAAGATTCATCGCCCTACTCTTCCTTAGAGATTACTGAGATTGTGCCTCCTTAATCTGGGAAAGGAGCTAGTCAGATGAAGAGACAAGTGGGAAATGCAGGAAAAATAGGGGCTTAAGTTGATTTGGGAGAATCACAGGACAAGGAATTTTTAAGTTCAGCGGAGCCATTCTTGAGAAATATCTCCCCCTATCCTTACATCCCCCTTACCTGGATGGAGTGAATCTAACCATGAAAGATAGATTACCTTAGAAGTATGTGGAACAGTGAGACAAATCATAGAAGTCATGTCTTAGAGGCAGATTGAAGGAATATTCAGACCACAAACAGTGCCTGAGTTCGGTGGGAATTTGTAAATCAAGAAAACAGGAGTATCAGCATAGCAAAGGAAGAAAGCAGATGATCATCTGGCTAAATTCTGTAGATAAAGCATGGATGTTTCTTGGTAACTTTACTTACTCCTGGCATGTTCTGAGGGTTTTTTAGTTTAATTTTTTATTAAGGTGTGATTGATATACTCTTATGAAGGTTTCACATGAAAAAGCAATGTGGTTACTACATTTACCCATATTATCAAGTCCTCATCCATACCCCAATGCAGTCACTGTCCATCAGTGCAGGAAGATGCCACAGATTCACTATGTGCCTTCGTTCTGAGGGTTTTTCTAAAGAAGTCAGAGCCTGAGGACATTGCCTCTCCTTGCCCCCTCTTCATTCTCTGATTCAGGCCTTTATTATCTTTCACCTAAATTTTTAAAAATTATAACCACAATATTATTATAGAACCTATAAAAATTAACAATGGTTCCTTAATATCATCCAATATCAAGTCAATATTTATACTTCTCCACTTGTCTCATAAATGTCTCACCAAGATTTTTCCTCTTGCTTTCTTTTTGGTCTCTTTGAATCCAGTCTCATTCCTCCTTCAATCTATGTTTCATTGAAGAGCTAGTTAAATCACACAGAAATAGCTCTGCCCATGTAAGTCTCCTCCTCAAAACAATTATCTTTTATCACACAGCCTTTCCTGGAATTCCACCTTCCCTCATATTCCAAATATACAAAAATAAAGAATAGTTGTATTTGTGTAAGGGATGTACTACTGAACATCTCTCATAATTAAAAACTCCCATAACTCAAATATAATCCTGATAGAGAATGGGATCATGTTTTGGTTACTGGCTAAAGTAGCACCACCATCTCCAAGGCCAACTTCAAGGTACAGAGTGTTGCTTGGTAATGGTATACAAAGTACACAATATCTTTGACCTTTAAATTCATAGAATTCTTAGAAAGTTTTTAATGAAGTTGAGGCTTTATGTTACTTTATATATTACCCATAAATTGATCATTTAATTAATATTTTTTAATTTAAAAGTTGCACAGTTCAATTTTGCATATAAAATAACTGACAATATTGCATCATTATTCACTAAGTATGTCTGGTGCTATATCTTTGCAGACAGGAATATCTTTCTTAACCCTTTCTGCCTAGAGAACTCCTATTAATTATCTAAGACCCATATAAAACATCACATCCTCCTTGAAACCTTCCCTTATCCTGTCTAGACAGAAATAATTAGTCCCTTTTCTTTTTCTAAAACACCTTGCTTATATTTCTGCTGCATCACTTATTATGGTATGACTTAAAAGCTACTCATATGTTTCTATCATTATAGTTAGTATGTTAGTAGTACTTAGTGGCTAAACCTTATTCATGTGTGTCTTCAGTAGGCTTAGCACAGTACTTATAGTGGATACTCGGAAAGTGTTTAGTTAATCTTGCAAGGTTATTGTAAAGATTAAATGAAATAATTTGTATCAATTGCCTAACACAGTGCCTAGTACTGGTGCTTAGTAAAGATTCCCTTCTTTTTCTCCTTTAGTGTACCCCTGTCTCATGTCTCTCAACTCCCTATATATTCTGCCCATGAAAAGAGACTAGAGCTTTCTTTTATTGCTCATATGTCTCTTCCTCAGTGTATTAACACTGTTTTGCACCTTTCATTTGTTTATTTTAGGTCACTGGCCCTATTCAGATCAGAAATTTCCCTAAGACAGCAGACAGTAGTAATATGACATCTCCACCATTCCTGGATGCCAACCCCATGGAAAACCCAGCACTGTTTAATGACATCAAGATTGAACCCCCAGAAGAACTTCTGGCTAATGATTTCAGCTTGCCTCAGGTGGAGCCAGTTGACCTCTCCTTTCACAAGCCCAAGGCTCCTCTCCAGCCTGCCAGCATGCTGCAAGCTCCAATACGTCCTCTCAAGCCACAGCCTGCTCCCCAGACCCTTGTAGTGTCCACTTCAACATCTGACACAGGCTCTTCAGCAAACATCCCTACCATTTTGACTCCAGGCTCTATCCTGGCTCCCTCTCAGGGCACTGGTGGCCAGCAGATCTTACATGTGATTCACACCATCCCCTCAGTCAATCTGCCAAATAAGATGGGTGGCCTGAAGACTATCCCAGTGGTGGTGCAGTCACTGCCCATGGTGTATACTACTTTGCCTGCAGATGGGGGCTCTTCAGCCATTACAGTCCCACTCATTGGAGGAGATGGCAAAAATGCTGGATCAGGTGAGCATCAAGGTGCCCCTTTTCTGGGCCTCACTTTTTCCATCTAAATTTTTTTTGTCATCCTATCTCGTACCTCTTTTCACACTCTCCGAGTATTCTTTCACACAGTCTCAAGAGTAATATTTCATAAGCACTATTTTATCATGTCTCTTCAATGATTAAGAATGTAAAATGACTCTTGTTTAGCTCATCTTCTCAAATTGGGATATGCATATCCTTGGGTGAAACCTCTAGATCATTTGATCTAAGTAATATAAACATTTTATATTTTAAAATACGATTTTATCAAAGATAAAAATATAAAATTTGAATAACCTTTTAAGATAAAACACACACTTCAAAAATAATTTTAAGGAGAATATATTTATTCTTCTATGCCATTAGGAATGCTTTGGTGGCAAACTTGAGAATATTTCTAACCCTACACACTTAGCCACCCTTAACTCCAGACTCTCTCTATACCATACCTTTCTTTTCCCTACCGGTAAAATAATCTTTGAAATATTGCCATCTTCCCTGTATTCCCCCTCATTTGACATCTATCACCCTCAACTTTACTTTTTTGCTTGCTTATATCACAAGTGTATGGGCATTCTTTACAAGTGAATTGTAGATTCCTCATGGACATCACTATCTTATTTCTCTTTGTGCGTCTCCAGAGAACCTGATAGATAGCAGATGTCTTGCAACAAATAATTTGATGAACAAACTTGAAAATTTGTCCAGGAAACACTATTTTCCCTATCTATATTTTAAAATAAGTTTAGAATTCAGAAAGGTATAAATTAAGTTGCCAGTATCCCCCAGCCACCCAGTTCCCCTCCTGCTGGTCTATAAACTTTAGTTTGTAATTGGGAAAGATCAAAGAAAATTATTTGCCCTCTGAATTGGTTCAAGATATTTAGTTTCACTACATCTGTAGAATTATAATAAATTTTGCATGTTGTACCTTAGGAAGGATGTTGGAAAGTTAGGGTACACTTAGAGGAGAGAGATTAGGATGGTGAGAAGATTCAAACGTATGTCAAATGAGGAGCTGATTAAATAGCATGAATTTGAAAAACCAAAGGGGAGCTATATGGTTAGAAATGACTAGGAACCAGACTTCAGCTCAGTGTAAATAAAACTAAGAGCTTTGTACCTTTGAAATTCAATGTATTGCAATCATTCCATCACTTAATATAGGAGACTGAGAAACAACATACTAAGCATCAAGTTGCTGAAACTCAGTATTCTTTTGAATAAAAATGCCATCATAGACTAGTAATTAACTGTGGTAATGACGTGTTCAATCTTGTTTTTGAGATCCCCTGAGGGTATTAATTAAAACAGTGTTCTTAACTTCCATTTAGGGAGAGAGAGCCAAACAAAAAGGAAATGGAAAAACAAAATTCCCTGTATGGAAATTTGATGATATCAATTTATCATCAGGCCTTTATATTCCCCCCATAATATCCATCAGTCCACTAGAACAGCTAAAAACATAATAAATTTTAAAACTGTTCAATGTAATTTCAAGCTGAGACCATTATCCCAGGGGTCTCCAAAATGGTATGGTTATATCTTAGGGGGTGGTGGGAGCACACAAACAACTGGAACTCAAAAAGAAAGTATCAAAATTCGATTTTATTTTCTCACCCTTTACATGTTATTTTTTGTTTATTTTTCATTAAGTACACAACATTTTAGAATTCTAGTGCATTTATTTCATGCACACACACATACAGAGAGACACATACATATGAGATGCATGCTTAAAATGTTTCAGTGAATGACACACAATCAATGTACAAAGGCAACTGCACTAATCAAAAACCCACCCAACTTTAGTGTCACCCTTAAGTTTCTTGTACACAGAAATTTTGGAGCATTCACTAGACCTAAGAGACCACTGACCACCTGACTGAGTTAAGTTAGGCATCACAAGCATCAGGAGGTGATATAATTAAGGGTTTTTCCCAACATTATTTGGAAGGGAAGGATGCTAACATATATCAAGCATCCACTAGGTAAGTACTAGATATGCGTTCCACTTCATTGACTCATTTCCATTTAGGAGCACAGAAGCCAAAGGAGATGTTTTCACCTCTGGGGTGAGCCTAGGCATTGATCTGAGGACAACCAGGGAACCATTCATAGGGTTCAATTCAACAAACACTCATTGAGCCAGACTTTTCAGTAGACCCTGTCCTGGAGTCTGGAGACAGAGTTGAATCATACTCAGACCCTACCCTAGAGCAACACACTATCATATCTTGCTATCCTAGAGAAGAAGCTCATTCTAGTGGCACCAGAATGTTTCTTATTGCCCTTCCCTCAAAGGAATTTCTGTTCCCTGCTATGCTAAAAATTGTAAATGTTCTTCTCTTCCCATCCACACAAACTCACTTCTTCCATCTTTGTATTTTATTTCTCTATCTTATTGTTATTTCTCATTGTGGGCTAAATTGGAAATCCTGAAAATGACTACTGAAGCACATATATTTGTAGCCCATGCTGTGCCTTTTCCTTGCTTTTAGTGAAAGTTGACCCTACCTCCATGTCTCCACTGGACATCCCAAGTGACAGTGAGGAGAGTGCAATTGAGAGTAGATCCTCAGCCTTACAGGGTATTCAGGGACGACATCAAGAGTGAGTACGTTTGTCTTTATTTCAGGTCTGTCTCTGTGTATATATATGTGTGTATCTGTGCTAGAAGTGGAATGGGTTCTCAGACATGATAGTAAGAATTTGAGGACAACAAAATATAGGTAGACTGCCTTCCCAGAAAAGGCATGAGTTTGTGTGCACACATGTCCATGTACATGCATGTTATGGCAGTGTTATGTCCTGATTGTAGATCATCAATTTTACCCTTGAAAAATCTGCAAGTTTCCTATGTACAGTTGCATGTTATTTCTCTCTGTAAGTTTAAAGCAGCCTTGTCTTCCAGTGCTGGAACTAATGATGTAGTTAGCTTGTGTTTTAGCAAGCATGTTGTATGAAAAACACAATTCTTTAAACACAGAATGAGACTTATTAGAGTGAAATACTCACATGGCATGGAAACAGAAATCACCCACTGAATTATTACCACCTCCTGGGACCAGCACTTACTGAGCAAAATGGCCTATTTGAGGGAATTGCCAGAATTATTTCAATTATTTCTTTGCTTGGGAGGCTAGTGTTCAATTTACATATATTAAATGCATGGATGAGATGTTCCCATTATATGTAAGTTAATTTATTTAGCTTAAACTTTAAAATCATTCTTTGACCCTATCTCTGTTTTTATGCTCAGACCAGCAGGAATGACCCAAATGCAGGGAGAAGAATCTCTTGACTTGAAGAGAAGACGGATTCACCAATGTGACTTTGCAGGATGCAGCAAAGTATACACCAAAAGTTCTCACCTGAAAGCCCACCGCAGAATCCATACAGGTGGGCTCACTTCCACCCCACCCCTAACATACATACAAACACACATAGAGTCTCTGAGAGATATGAAGAGAAGAAAGTCTTGACACACAGAAATTAAAGCAGGCTGTTGGAGCTCAGTACCATCCACCAACCTATAATATACCTTTTTTCACACCAGAAAACATAAGTAAAGCAGACCTGGTGGGGATTGTGCCAAACTGGATGGCACCTTCCCCATCTGAAGTAGAGCTGTCACTCAGCTCCAACTAAGTATTACCAAATCTCTCAGATTTGAAGAAAAGCAGAAAATCAAGATTTTTATGTGAAATGTCCTAGATTTTGAATGTTGGCATCTAATTAAAAAATTTTCATAGCACCATGGATTCAAAGAAACCTGCCTATGGGCCAAATATAGATTGTCAGTCATCACTTTTTACCCTCTGCTTTGGAGACTCCTCCTTGCCAATCATCAGCTGCTCAAAATTGAGACTTGGACACTCTGGAAAAAGGGGGCCCCCTTTCTTGTAAAAATGTATTATGTTACATTTGCTGTATTAGGATTTGTATGCAAGGATCCACAGTACTAGTTGCTGTGTCTTGAGGCTATGAACAGGTAACTGATTTCCAGACTGCATTGTCCCATCATTCCCATGACACTCTTCTTATTTACTGATGCTTTGTCTGCTTCTCCTCTATGTAGGATAGAGGCTAATCCTACTGAATATATATACAGTATGTGTGTTTTTGTATATACATACACACACACGCATACATATATATATATATACATTGTATATATACACACACACATATTTAAATATTTAAGCCCAAATTTACTGGAATCACATCTACCCTGCACCCAACCTTAACAATTATATCAGTATATAGCCAATTATGTTTTTCTACACCCCTACTGACTTACCCACTCCTCACTCTATTATTTTGAAGTAAATTCTAGATATATTATCTTAGTCATAAATACTTTAGAATGTATCTTTAAAAGACAAAGATGTTTAAAAATAAGTGCAATATTACTAGCACATAAAAATTCCTTAATATCAAATTTCCCCAGTTGTCTAATAAATATTTTTTTTAAAGTTTGTTCAAATCAGGATCTAAACAAGGTACATACACTGAATAACATAATCATTATGAGAAGGAGCCAGATGTGTAAAAAACTTGAGGGAAGAGTTTTCTTGAATAAGCAGAGTACAAAATCTGTGAGATGGGAATAAACTTGCCTTGTTCTGATAACTGACAGAGGTCCAGCATAGCTTGGGCATATTTAGTGCAGTGGTTGGTGGTGGAAGCATTGAGGTACAAGTGTGGGAGAGGACCACTTAAGAAGCTACTGTAGTGATTCATGCAAAAAAAATGATAAGAGCCTAGCTAGGGATGTTAGGAGTAGATTTAGAGAGAAAGAAGTATATTGATGTATATTGATGATTGAGGGGCCACTGAAACCTCAGATTTCTGTTTTGTGGATGGATGGAGGTGCCATTTACAGAGATAGTTTGCCAAGGTCACACAGTTAGTAAGTGGGAAAGTCCCTTGGACTTGGAATCAAAATTTAGTATGAAACCTAGGTATACTTTTCTCTTTTGATGGCATTCCACAGGGTTTTTTAATATAAGGAAGCTTCAGAAATGCTTACTTCATTGCCTTCCTAAGATTGGGGTTCATTGCAAGGGGTCCCAGAGAATATCTCTATTTCTGGTACATATTCTTTCAGCAGAGAGCTTTGAGACTCTTGCTTATCTGGATACCACCTCTAGCATGAAATGCAGCCATTCATCTCCTCTGAGCTTAAAAGCATACAAAACAGGAAATACAGGTACAAGAATTTCCATTAAACATACTGTCAAGCCCTAATTTTTTTTTTTTGAGGAGTGAGAAGTCTTTATTTAAGGAAAAAGGGGTATACAGTCAAAAAAGGGGAGTGTGGGCAACCCCAGAGAGGAGGTACCCTTAAGGATTTAGTCAAGCCCTAATTTTTGTAATGATATCACCCATTAATCCAGGCACAAAATTTATCTTTAACATTCTCTTATGCCCTCAGTTATTTGTTTCTAAACTTCTATTATTTCCTTCATCAAATAGCTCTTTTATTGAGGATGTAGACATACTGGCCAAGAGCATATATTGTGAAACTACCTGAATTTGACATCCCAATATACCACTCATTAGCTGAATGTTACTTTAACTTTCTTTTGCCTCAATGTTTTTATTGGGGAATAATAATAGTATAAAACACTTAGAATAGTATTTTACATATAGTAAACACTCAATAAATGTTAGCTATTGTTAATGTTCTTTCAATTCCACTCTTACTGACACCTCCTTAGGCTTTTTGTCTTGATTTATTCTCTTTTCCTCTGTTATAGCTTACAATTTAAAAATTCTGTATATTTCTGATATATAATTTGGTGATATGACATATGTATACATTGTGAAATATTCACCACAGTCAAGCTAAATAATATATCTATCACCTCATATAGTTACCCCTTTTTTTTAGTAGTGAGAATACCTAGGCTCCACCCTCTTAGCAAATTTCAAGTAAACAGTACAATATTGTTAACTATAGTCACATTGTTGTGTAACTATAGTCACATTAGATTTCCTGTAACTATTTATCTTGCAAAGCTGGGACTTTGTACCTCTTGACTAATATTTCTTCCTACACCCCAACCCCCAGCCCCTGGCAATCACCATTCTATACTCTACTTAAAGGAGTTTAACATTTTCCTATTACATATACTGCATGAGATCATGCAGTATTTGTCTTTTTGAATCTGTCTTATTTCACTTAGCATAAGTGTAAAAAGTGTAAAAAGATTCCCTTTTTCCACATCTTCTCCAGCACTTGCTATCTTTAGTGTTTCTGATACTAGCCATTCTAACAGATGTGAGCTGATATCTCTTTTTGATTTGCGTTTGCATTTCCTTGATGATTAGTGAAGTTGAGCATATATCTGTTAGTTTTCTCATATACCTGTTGACCTTTGCATGCCTTCTTTGGAGAAATATCTATTCAATTTCTTTGTCAATTTTTTAATTGGTTTGTTTTTGTTGTTTAGTTGTATGAATTCTTTTATTTTGTATATTAACCCCATATAAGATATGGGGTTTGCAAATATTTTCTCCCATTGCATAGGTCCTCTTTTCACTCTGTTGATTGTTTCTTTTGCTGTGCAGAAGTTTTTTGGTTTGATAGAATACCACTTTTCTATTTTTGCTTTTGTTTCCTGTACTTTTGGTGCCATATCCAAAAAATGGTTCCACAAACCAATGTTAAGAAGCTTTCCCCCTGTTTTCTTCTAGTAGTTTTATGGTTTCAGATTTTATGTTTAAGTCCATAATCAATTTTGTGTTGACTTTCATATATGATGTGAGATAGGTCCAATTTCATTCTTCTCCATGTAAATATCCACTTTTCCCAACACCATTCACTGAAGACTACCTGTTCCCCATTGTTTGTTATTTGCATATTACTCGTGATCAATTGACTGTAGATGTGTGCATTTATGTCTGAGCTTTATTTTATTCCATTGGTCTGTATGTGTGCTTTATGTCATTACTATACTGTTTTGATTACTGTAGCTTTGTAATATGGCTTGAAATTAGGAAGTGTGAGGCCTCCATCTTTGTTCTTTTTGCTCAAAATTGCTTTGCCTTTTCAGGGTTTGTGTGGTTCCATATAACTTTTAGGATTGTTTTCTCAATTTCTGTAAAGAATACCAATGGGATTTTGATAGGAATTGTATTGAATCTGTGGATCACTCTGGGTATTATGGATATTCTGACAATATTAATCTTTCCAATCCATGAACATGGAATATCTTTCCATTTATCTGTCACCTATAATTTTCTGTATCTGTGTTTTATAATATTCTGTGTACAAATCCCTCACCTAATTAAATTTACTCCTAAGTATTTTTTTCTTCTGTTGCTGTTGTGAGCAGGATTGTTTTCTTGATTTCCTTTTCACATACTTCATTGTTTATATATAGAAATGTGATTGATTTTTATATGTTGATTTTGTATATTGCAAGTTTACTGAATTATTTAATTAGTATTTAATAATTATTTAATTATTTAATCTAACAGATTTTTTTTGTTTATTCTTTAAGGCTTTCTATGTATGTGATCATGTCATCTCCAAATAGAGATAATTTTACTTCTTCCTTTCTGATTTGAATGTTATGTTGTAAAGAAATGGGAAGAGTCGGCATCCTTGCCTTATACTGGACTTAGGGAGAAGGCTTTCAGTTTTTCTCTATTTATTATGATGTTAGTTGTGGGTTTTTCATATTCAGCTTTTATTGTGTTGGGGTAAATTCCTTACATACCTGTTTTGTTAAGAGTTTTAATTATGAAAGGATGTTGAACTTTGTCAATGCTCTTATGCATCTATTAAGATGTTCATGTGGATTTTGTTAGCATGTTGTATCACATCAATTGATTTGATAATGTTGAACCATTCTTGCATTACACTAGTGGTAAAACCAACTTGGTCACAGTATATGATCCCTTTAATGTACTGTTTGTTTGGAGATTTTTGATTCTTAATTCAATTTCTTTATTTGTTATTGGTCTGTCCAGGCTTCCTATTTCTTATTTGACTCAGTTTTAGTAGGTTGTATGTTCCTTAAAATTTACCATTTCTTATAAGTTGTCTAGTTTGTTGGCATATAACTGTTCCTTTAATCCTTTTTATTTCTGAGGCATCCATTGTAGTGTCTCTTCTCTCACTTCTGATTTTATTTATTTGAATCTTCTATTGCATATACTCTTGATTCCTTCATCTGAATTGAATTATAAATACTTAATTTGTATACCTGATTGAATTATAATTAATTTGCATACATTCTTTATGGGGTAAGGTTACCCCAGTAGCCCATATTCATTGTAAACCATTTCACATACTATAGCTAGATCATTTCAATGTATGACTTTGATCAAGTCACTATGAGTTCAAAATTTTTCAGTGTACCCACTTTCTCTACCCATTGCCTGGCAATGGCATACCAAGAGAAAGAGTGCAGTGAGAGCTGTAGCAAGAAAAAGAGTATTTTATCATTGACATTGTTTATAGTTAGAAAATGGTGATAACAAGGGGCAAACTAACTTTTAGTCTATTTTATTATTGTTTTAAAATTACTTACAGTCAGTGTACCCACTTTGTGCCTATACCTGAGGCAGACTATTCTCACTGTTCTTTGTTATGTCATTACCCTTCATAATAGGGGCCACCTCATAGCACTCCTGTAAAGATACACCATGCTTCAAAATGGCTGATCTTTTGCATCACTGACTGTACTGCCTTATCAACCCAGTCCTGCAACTGACTAGGTTGTTTTTTGCCTTCTGTTCCACCTATCTAAAAACCTAAAACCATGCCTCTAGCTCAATGCCTTCATACTAACCCACAAATGATTATCTAGCATTGGAACTTATATCACATTTGACTATGTGATGTAGTTAATATGGATACACTTTATATTATGTAGTTAATTGTCATGTAGTTAATATGTATACTTTATATTATGAATTACTTTCCCTATGTATGTTTTGTTCTTCAACTTAGATGATATGTTAATAGAAGTCATGAGTTGTATCTTATGAAGTGCATTGGCACAAACAGGAGCTTGTTTGATTGTAAGGAAAGGTAACTTCTTTTGAAATAGAAAAATTGGTCTCCTTACTGAATTCCTGAACAGTGATCTATGTATTCTAGCAATGAGTTTCAATCGCCACAGGGTGTCACTTCTTTACAAGTAAAATTTTCTTTATTTGAGTATAAAGAAAATAGGAATTCTCAGGAACAATTCTTGAGAGATTTCAAGAAAACATACTAATGTGACAGTTGGGAAGTGTGGAGATGGGCTAGAAGTAAATAGGACAAAAAGTGAAAATCCCATTTACACATGCTCAGCACTGTCTGAAGTCTCATTCTCCTCCCCACTGTTCATAATTTTCTCTGTAGTCTTCCAGATGGTTTCTCTTTGTGTGATGTGTGTGTGTGTGTGTGTGTGTGTGTGTGTATGTATGTGTGACTGTGAGGGGTGCATAGGGGAGGAAGAGAGACACAGAGAGACAAAGAGACACAGAGGTTCAGAAAGCATAAATAGGATGTGTATGTGTGTGTGTGTGTCTGTAGCTATTCAATAACTTTCTCTTTTCATTTGATAACATTTCATTGGCCACCTTTTTGTCTCAATACATCCAATTCTGTCTCATTCTTAGCAGCTAATGCAGCAATTTCTGAATATTGAAATTATCGGTAATTAACATCTTTCATCCTCAAAATGGTTGCCTGGGTATGGTCCAAAACAGTAAGTCAGAGTGAATTCCATTCTGTTGCCCTTTATTTGAGAGGTGTATAGTTAATTACTAAACAGTTTGGAGGATTTTTAGGTGTTAAGCAGTAAACTGAAGAGTAGTATGTGCAAACCAGATTGCCACCAGAATTTAGAGCAGCATAAAATTAAATACTTTGGAAATTTTATGTGGAGGAAGTGGAGAAAGAGCCAGAGAAAAGGAGACCATTAGAATACCAATGTATTTTGTCTGCATTTTTGCTTGTTAATTATTATAAAACAATACATGCTCACATATAAAATGAAAAATAGAGAAACACATTAAGAAAACAAATATTACCCTAATCTTATGACCTAGACTTAACCATAGTTAATATTTAATTTTGCTCATATAGCTTCTTTCCTTCTGATTGAAAAAATTGATTATAACATACATCATCATGAATTTTAAAACATTCAAACAATACAGAAAGGTGAAAAATAAAAAGTCCTCTTTCATCATTCTCACCCTCACTTTCCAGATATTCACTCACTGTTAACTTTTCTCATAATTTACATTTAAGTGCATTGATTTACCTTTATTCTGAGTGTATAAGTATGTGGTGTATGATATATATACAATAATGGGGTCATACTGTGTTAATGTTTCTTATACTACTTTTTTTCATTTAGCTTTCTATCTGGAACATACATATTCCATATATAACCCAGATGCAAGCAAGGCATACTGAGCATAGAGCTATTTCAGAAAGTTGGACTTGACTCTTCTCACCCTTACCTTACATAGAAGAAGACCTATAGCCTTAGCTGATGGCCCATTCTAGTGAATCATACATTCTTTCTGTGTGTATTTTACACTGTTTGTTTGGGAGGATATGGTTACTGCAGTGTGGTACACTGGATGGTGTCAAAGACCTGGGTTTAGATCCCAGTTTTAGCATTTACTAGCTGTGTTAAAAAAAGAAAATATTTCAAACAAACCTGTAAAGTATTTTTATCCCCTTTTAGAGATGAGAAAACAGACTCAGCCAAGGAGAAATAACTTATTTCAGATCACACAGATAGTATGTAGTAGAGCCAGGATTCAATCAAAGGCCTATTTGAACCAGAGCCTATGTGCTTTTCACTTCTCCATCTGGACTTCTCTTTAGTACTTCTGTAAAGTTTAATGAAAGCATATCTTCAAAGTGATTGCCTCACCTTTTGACTGAAGGCTTGAAAAAAGGTTATGTACTCTGTTATCTTTCCAGTGTCTCTTCTCTGACCCCCCTTTGTTTTCTCATATTCCCTTTTTTAGGAGAGAAGCCTTATAAATGTACCTGGGATGGCTGCTCCTGGAAATTTGCTCGCTCAGATGAGCTCACCCGTCATTTCCGTAAGCACACAGGCATCAAACCCTTCAGGTGCACAGACTGCAACCGTAGCTTTTCTCGCTCTGACCACCTGTCCCTGCACCGCCGACGCCATGACACCATGTGAGAAACACAAACTGCACTAGAAGATATGTACTGGTCTCTTTCTGTATGTGTTGAGGACATGACCATCTTTTCCTCTTTCACTTCAGCTTGCTTCTGAAATGGGCTTGGAGGAGCACACTGAGCCAGGTTGATGAGACTGTAGGAAAATATAGCTAGTTTTCCATGGGAACTCCTCGTATTTCACCCTCACCTCTCCATTGGACAGTCCCCAATTTTTTCAACCTCCCCATGGGTTGAATTTCAGTGTGGCACCCATGGTTGCCCCCCCCACCCTCCCACACCCATCCCTGCTCTGAGATAGGACATTTTTCCTACAGTAACAACACAGGAATCAAACTCAAGGCTGTGAACAAACACACGCTGCTTTTTCCCTATTTTTTCTCTTGTTTTCCAGAATTCGTGTCCATATTTTTTAAATAAGTACTGAAAAGTGGTTGGTAGTCTTCTAAAAATGACTTTTTTTCAAGTTCTTAGAAGAAGGCATAACAATGTTCTTGGTTAGTAAGAGTTACGAGGATTTGGGTCCTGAGTATAGGGCACATTCTCAGTGATTTTAGCTGAGTCCTATATGAAACTCAAAGATTTTGTAAATCCAAACCTATTTGTTCTTACAGTTGGTTTTCAGATGGTGCTGGTGCTTCTGCTTCCTAAATACTTCAAAGAGAATGAAGGAAATCTCCTCTTCCTCTTCTTCCTCCTCCTTCTTCAGATGAAAGATCTTTCTGCACAATTACATACTTTATTAGGTTAAATTTGGACAAATATTCACAGAACACATTGACATGCCAGTAGGGAGAAAAGTGTTCCAGGAGAGTATGTTAGACAGTGATAGAAACAAGCAGAACCAGGATGATCCTGAAAACAAGTAGAGGGGGACTTTGATTTGGCTAGGATATCAAAAGTGCTGTAATAAAACCTCACTCAAATGGCAGCCTGTTGAGGAAGTGTCTTTAAGGGGTTACAATGTACTACTTATTTTTTTGCTTACATAAAGCAACTGTTAGGAGCAAATTGCATGATAACAAATTACACACTGGGGACATATTATGCAGAGGTGAGGGGTTTGAAGAAAAAAAAATTTATTTCTTGGCATTATTAGCATGTATTCCTTGTTTCAAATGGAATATAAGAAGCATTTAATGAGAAATGACACACACACACACACAAAATTTTATTTTCTGCAACTGCTGTGAACACCTAAGCCATTTCCTTTAGCCATTAGAGAAAAACTGCATAACATACACATTTGGTTACCCAAACTGTTTCATCATAGTTTCATAACAGAGGAACATAAAATCCTCTGTTCTAGGCCCTGGACATCAGATCTACCTCCACATGGCATATTTTACTCTGAAGGGTTGGAGAGTGGGCTTTGAATCACTTGGTTTTGAATTCAGCCTCCATCCTAAAGGTTGTCTTCATATTGAGTTCCTTTTCTTTGGCAAATATTCAACCATTCCCTCCATGAATGCTTTACGTTACTACCTCCAAAGGCTGTCCATTCTGACTAAATCATAGAACTCTAGCACTGAAAAGGTATCCTATTAACCATTTAGTCTTACCAATCATTCATATTTTAAAGATGAGACAAATGTGAGTCAGATTCTTTCCCCAGATGGTTCCTTAAGGCATTATAGACCATACCTATTCTCCCAGGGATCACATTAAAACACACTAAAGAAAAGTTTACATCATTGGCTGTAGTATTTGTCCAATTTTATATATATGTTATGCTTTAGCAAACTAGACTACTCACAAATCATTTATGGTTGATTAAATATTAAGTATAATGTACTTGTGGTCATTGACATATAACATTAGGCACACAAGTTTTCTTTCTAACACTGTATATTATCTCAGATTTGATTTACCTCATTTAAACTTACAGTGTCTTTCCAGACCGTAAACCTTCATAAATTCAAGGACTGTATTTTTCAAAATGACATGTCGACTTTTACTATTATCATTGTTATTTTGATAGAGGCTTCTCCCTGACTTTTGGTGTACAAGTTCCACACCATAGACTAATTGCTAAAGCACTAGGAAATATCAAGGACCAGTGTGTTAAAGGGGATTTTTATGTAGCTATAAGATTTTTAAAGGTGAATTGCCATCATACATAGATTTAAACTTGTCACTGAATAGTTAATATGGTATTTCACAGTACAGTTCAAGGGCTTATTCATTTTCCCCAGAGTTTGGATCTTGGGACTCCTTTTCCAGAGTTCATAACTGACGTGTGCCACTCAGGCCTCAGGATCTTTTGCATTAGAGCATATCTATTTATAAATAAAGGCTATCAAATATACTGTTGTACTACTAGGTTGATCAAATTAGGATTCCAAATATTGGTATCACTGACATCCCAAGCCTGTATTCAAAATTTTTCATGCAAAATAATGAGGGATTTGTTAATGCTTTATTCATTGTCCATAGTCAAGAAACAGTTCTAATACTGTTCTTCATGCCCTCTCCCCTCCAAATAACAATAAAATCCTTCCAGTTATTTACATATATTTTAAGAAGTATGTCAAAATTTGTAGTATTTTGTAGAGTACAGAGATTCACATACAGTACAATACAGTATTGCACCAATGCATATAAAACTTTTCTAGATAGACAATGATATTGAAAGGAATTGTCACTCTTAGGTAGCATTTGAGATTAATTGAATTTGCTGTGCTTACACTAGCAAAAATCTGTTCATCATTATGTGAACAGTTGCCTAGTGGATGGTAAATGGCCTTGTTCAATAGGGTTAGATAATATCCTGGGATTTGTTGCAATGGAATTCCTCCGTCTGTACATGATTGACAGTTGAACATAACAATTGATAATTATGATTAGAAATTTCAGGTAAAACTTTGTAGACTGGGAAGTGGCTGGGTAAATTAGGTTGAGTGAATTATGGGCAAGACAGACAATTTGTGAGAATAACTTATTTTTAAATAATTTTTTAAAATTTCAGAACAGTTTTAGATTTACAGAAAAATTGTGACAATAGTACAGTTTCCATATCCCGCATCCAGTTTTCCCTTTTATTAACATCTTTCATTTGTATGGTACATTTGTTACAATTAATGAAGTAATACTGATGCATTATTAACTGAAGTCCAAACTTTATTCAGATTTCCTTAGTTTTTACATAATATCCATTTTCCAGTATCCCATTCAAGATACCACATCACATTTAGTACTCATATGTCCTTAGGCTTCTCTTGGTTGTGACAGTTTCTCAGATTTTTCTTGTTTCCCATAAACTTGTCAGTTTTGAGTGGTTTATTCCTCAATCGAGATTTGTTTTACCTGTATCTCATGATTAATCTGAGATTATGGGTTTTGGGGAGGAAGACTATAGAGGTGAACTGCAATTTTCATCACATCATATTAACATAACTTATGTTCTTGATGTTAAACTTATCACCTGGCTGAGATAGCATTTGTCAAGTTTCTCCTCAGTACTCTACCCCTCTCCCTGCTTTATGCCATACTCTTTGGAAGGAAGTCACTATGTGCAGCCCACACTTAAGGAGTGGTGAGCTATATATCGCATCCTTGAGGATGAGTATCTACATAAGTTATTTTGAATTCTTGTGCATGAGAGATTTGTTTCTTCTCCCTCATTTATTTATTTGTGTAATCATTTACTTGTATCAGTAGAGACTCATGGATATTTATCTTATACTTCAGGTTGTAATGCAACACAATGTTATTTCATTGTTCAAATTATTCCAGCCTTGGCTATTGGACACTATTTTGGGTTAACTTTTAAGTCCTTCTGACACACCCTCATCATTTTTTTTAACACATCCTTATTTTCTGGCACTATGAGATGTTCCAGGCTCATCTTGTATATATTTTTGGCTGACTCCTATAATCAACCATTTCTTAAAGAATTCCATTTTGTTTTCATGGAGAATTATATTGGAAACCAAGATCTAGATTTTAGGTATGCTTGTTGCTACTGCGGTACTTTAGGCCATCTCAGCTGACAGAGCAAGATACACTAACCCATGTATATACACACATCTACAAATATCTAAAAATATTTCTATATATAGTCTTCCATGTTATTTTTAAGCTAAACATGAGTTCATACTGATGTCTCCAACTTCAGTCCATTACCGCACACATCATTATAGACTTTTCACTTTGCTTATCTGTAACCTCTCATTCCAGCAGTGAGAAACCTGGCTCCCACACCCTGTCATCTATTTACTGAATTGTTCAGTTCTAGTGCACATGTATAGCAGTATCTGAATTGTTAACCTGCACACTTGAGAGAAACAACAGTGCATGGTAATAACATTTTTAGAACTCCAACAGTTCTTTGAAATAAAGTAATTGGCAAAATCTGGGAATTAGGGATTTCAGCTATCTGAGTTCTGGGAACTTGGGGTCTATTGTGCCCTAAAAAATTTTTATCAAGAACCAAGCCATTGGGAATTGACTTAACCCTGAATAAACTAAGGCAAATTATTTATCCTCCTCACTGTACTAATACATACATAGAGATAAACAGAAGAAAGTGAGTATGCCCAGCTGAAACACTTAGCACTTTCTTTTCTCACTGGTAAATATGGCTCTCTGATAATAAGAGTGCTACCCCAAATTACCTCTCTTCCATATATTCCTGTCTCTCACTTGGTTGACCTTAGGCAAATCACATCACCTCTCTGTGCCTCAGATAACACATCTGTAAAATGGGGATCTAAATGTCTACTTCACAGGACTCTTGTGAGGATTCTCATTAATGAATGTTGGCAAAAATGATGGGAGATCCTTAAATGAGCAACAAAGTATTATGATCACCACTATGATGATAATTACAGTACCCTAAATTTACCCTAGGAAAAAAAGAGAGGATTAGGCATTCCAGATAATAAAGAGCTGACTTTGAGTCAGTAACAAAAGTAATTGAAAAATAGTCACTGGAAGCACTATTATTTCTTCTCTTCCTGCCCCTACATTCTCTTCAATATTAACCATAAGATTCTCTTCGGTTTCCAGACTCAAAGCATATTAGGGCCTAAAGGAATATGCAGGCAAAATTCATTGCTTCAAAAGCTGAATTCTTCCTCTTTCCTTACTCTGCCTAGACCAAATTACACATCACCCTCTCAGAAGCACAAAGGCAATTTTCCGGAGCCATTCAAACTTTGGCTAGTTCAAATTTACTGGTTACATTTTTCTCTTTCCCCATTTACTGTGCTCTGAGCAGTTAATGTTGGAAAGAAGTGGGGTGAGGTGGATGGGATGGGAGTGGGATGGAAGAGGATAGGATTTATACCAGTGGCAGTATATATCTTTAATTTGATTTCTTTGATTTCA